GAGTAGCTGGGACTACCAGGTGCACGCCACCACGCCCAGCTAATTTTTTTATTTTTTATAGAGACAGAGTCTTTCTCTTTCTCAGGCTGGTCTTGAATCCTGGCCTCAAGCAATCCTCCCACCTTGGCCTCCCAAAATGCTAGAATTACAGACATGAGCCATTGCATCTGGACTGTTGAGAGTTTTTATCATGAAAGGTTGTTGAATTTTGTCAAATGCTTTTTCTGCATCTGTTGAAATGATCATATGGTTTTCTTAGTGGTGATGAATTTCACCCTCACCCACTTCGCTTTAGGACAAGATACCTAATTTCAAGTTTGACCAGTGTTAGGTGTGCACTTAGCACAACTATCTGGTTAAATGCATGCGCTCCTTCTTTTCACTAATTCCAATCCCTCAAGAGAAATGAACATGACTTTTGATTAGTATCCTACTTTTATAATTTATCTCAAAGCTTACTTCTTTTTCCTTTTCCTGTACTTAGTTGGATTTATTTTTCTTTATTCCATTTTTTCCAATTTAGTGATTTGAAGTATGCCCACCATGCATGGCCATTATGTCCATTAATGAGGTAACAGTGAAAGCTTGCTCCAAAGGGGAGAGGCATGCATCCAGACTTGCTCCCTGGTACCTAGAGCTATGGGCTCACCCACTCAATGGAACAAGGCAGAACAGAGTTGTTTCTGGCTGCCCACTGGGGCTACAGCTTATTGGAAGCTCTGGCCTGGATGGGGGATGTTCAGCTATTCTAGGAGACACCATGTATATTGTATTCTATGAACATTGTATTCTATGTAAATGAATTTCCTGGTGGACAAGAAAATCATTAGTCAGCATATGAATTCACTTTTGATAAAATTAAAATAATAGAACCAAAAATTACTTTTAAAAAACCATATAAAGGAATAACTTCCACAATAATGATGAATTAAAAATCTGGATCAAGGAATTTCCAGACCGGAAAGAGTTGGACAGAATCAGTAACCTGAAAGATAGTACAGAGGCATTCACTCAGAATGCAGCACATAGAAATAAAAAGAAAAACTTATGAAAAT